AGCAAGCAGTGGTAGAGCTAGAACAGTACATGCAGGTACCAAGAAGTATCCTAGTATTCTGCTGTTCTGAAACAGCCATATAAAGTATTTCTGCATCCAAACACTCACTGTTCAAGAATTTTTTTTTAAATAATTAAAAATGAAAGTTTTGTCTTTTAATCTTTTTTTTTTTTCTTAGTTGGTTTGAATGTGTTTTTTTTACTCTGAATGTTGGAAGAAGGAAGAGGAGGTGGTCTGTAGAGAGCAGAAATGATGGGCAAAAGATTTTATTTCCAATATTTATATATATTTTATAATTTTTATTATAAAAAGATTTTATTTATTTAAAATACTGCTCTTAAAAATAAAAGGACAAATGTCTTCATCATTTCAGTTTTCTCTCCATTTTTGACCCAGCCATGGATGATAATAGTAACCCGGCTTCTCTGCGTAACTTTGGTTTCCCGTAATCAACTGTTACTGTGATGTCCTTGAACTAATAATAATCTCATCGTTTAAGACCACTCACTTCCTCGGTTTGGTTTTTAAATAGCTGCACTGCACCGTACGGCAGCATTGCACATTGCATCGTTACTCAGAAAGAAGAACGGCAGCCCATGGAGAAGCACTGCCAGGTGGGGGGCCCAGGGCCAGCCCCGGCTGCGCCTGCTGGGGCCTGGTCTGCAACCTCGGCCAAGGCGCCCTGACATCCCCTGTGTCGGGAGCAGGGAGACGTCGTGGAAGGTCTCCTTCTACTGTGGCTTGTGATGGAGTCTGAACCCACCAGTTTACATTCCTGGCCATATGCAGCGTACTGAGTGCCGTGAATCAGCCTGTTGGGTGTAATGCCAGGCTATGCTCATTTTGTCGAATGCAGTATGGCAGGAAGGTAGCAAGCGTGGGCTTCGGGGCTGCTCTCTTCAGTGGGTGGGACTCAGGGTAGGGCTGAGTCCTGCGGCGCTGCATCTGCTCCTCTTCCCTGTTTTGCTTGAAGTAAGTGTGCCGGGGACTCTCAGGTGCTCCAAGTCTCCTAAACTATTAGAGTGTTGAAAGAGAGAAATAATCGCCATGCAATAGCCTATAACTGCCAGGAAGAGGGGTGGGTTATATAAGCTAATTAAAAGGGCTTCCCAAGAAACCTGCCCCCTCCCCTCGCTGTCTGAATGGGCAACTCCTTTCCTCTCATGGAAACTCCTGGTTCTCCTCCCTGTGTCCTAGAACAGCCGTCTGCTCTCCATCCCCTCCGAGGTTTCGTTGTGGGTTGGCTCCCTCACGTAGGCATGTCCTTCATCCCTCTCTGTTCTCTTCTTGCCTGTTTTTTTCCGTGCTCCAGCAGCTTTCCACAGCTTAAGTGCGCTGTGTCTGTATCCCAGACAGGATGCACACCCTCTCCCTCTCCTTTGAGCTCCTTATGGGGCTGGGTGACAGCAGCTAAGGCGACGACGATGGGGAGCCTTGCACACTGCTCTGCTCGAGGTTGAACGGAAGAGGGTATTGTCTGCAGTACGCATCCACCAAACTGGGGACAAATTAAAGAATTAATTAGTATAGCCTGCTCCATTTTTTGAAGTTAGTCCACAGTGGCATCTCAAGCAGTAGGGTAGCTATGACTTGGTGTCCTGAATTTGCATTCATACCGGGACTATTCTAGTGATGATAATAGAGGAGGAAAGTGGCACTGACTGAGTCAGTGAAAATATGGTGCTATCCATTATCAATAATCCAACACTGGTATTCTTACAGACTTTTTTTATGTGGTGGTGAAAAAACACAGGGGAAAACAGGTATTTGTATCTCCCCCCAAACAGAAACAAAATGTAGTACGAATTTTTAAAGCAATACTACAAATCCTTGGTATCTGCTAAACTAAACCTTATGATGCTGGAAATGGTTGTTTTCAAGCTTATTTCAAATTGAAGATTGGTAGTTAATTATGGAGCATTAAGGGAACAAATAACACTGAATTGTTCCAGTAGTTAACTAGTGATTTCCAGTGCCTAACTGAAAATAAGAGAATTTCCAACTGCCCGAATTCTTCTGAAAACAAATGAAACATAGTTGCATGAACACTTTCTTATGCCAAGACAACAGAGTTTAAATTTTTGCCAGGAAGAAGTGGTAGTTTGTTGTCAAGAGCCATCAGCATATAGAAGTACACAAACAAACCACTTGCTTCTCTTCTGGGTGAGCTGCAGGCTCTTCAGGTTTGTTTTTGCCTTCAGATTGAAATCTCAAGAGTGTTAATGAGGAAAGCGATACATCTTTTCCCTGTCAGACAAGATGGGACTGCTTGTAGTCCCTAAATCTTGAAAAAGGAACTCGTGTTTTTTCAAGATCACGCTGATTGATCTCAAATGTATCATTTGTACGCTTGGTTTAGACTTCGTTATTTACAGATGAGCAGCCACAACTCTGTTCTACGCTTGCTTGGGAAATGTGGATTTATTTAAAATTTAAATATCTATCTGGCTGTCTCTCTCAAATTACTTTGTAATTACTTTATTGAAATGTATGTACGTTTTAATTGTTCATTACTGCTTGTTAAGGTACTGCTGTTAAGAACTGCTATACAGTTATTAGTGAACTTAAAACCATCTGCTCTGAACATTTTACTAAAAACTTTTTTCTACGGTTTGGATAAGTTTTTTAAAGTTCATGGAAGTGTTTAGGCTAAATGGTGCAGGGAACTAATGTATGTGATTCTAGCTGGCTATGTAAATCCCCTAGTGAGCCACAGTAATATGAAAGAAACACTTGAAAGCCAGATGCAATGAAAATTTAAACATATTGAGTTCATAGCATGTGATAGTTTAATCATTATTTAAGCTTTAGAAATGTCACAGCATAATTACTTCCAGAATGAGTACAAACACTTTCATGCACAAAAATTGCTTTCTTGCTGCAACTTTTGCCCCTCCTGGGAAAGTTATGCTTTTGTGAATTTTCGGAACTTAATCATGTCACTTGATCACCGGCAAATTCTCAGTGAAAAATCAAAATCAGAAAGATTAAAATAAAGCCTACAGATATATTTTAACACTAAGCCTGTATTTTCTTTATGCTCTTTAAAAAAATCTGTAAAACCATTTATTTAATTAAAGAAAAAAAATAATTGCAACAAAACCAGTTAAATGGAAAATGCTTAGTAAAGCCTATTTACAGAGTCAGGGAATGGAAAGCTACCAAATGCTGTATTTATAAACACCCATGCAGGATTAAAATTCAGCTCTCCTATGCATGTTATACATTTTTAATAACCTCATAGCATACATGGAGCCCCTGCCTCCTTCTGTAATTGTAATGAAAATACCAGAACCAGAACTTAAGTTTCCAAATTTGTCCTATATCTGGAATATTCTGATGAATGCAATTGACTTTGCAATATATATTGGGTTGATATGTAAAATAGTGTCATAATCCCAGTTTACACTTCGATGCAAACACTTCCACTTAACATAGTCTGCTACAATTTGTTTATAAAACGAGCGGTTCGGGTCGGATTTTGGAAAATATCAGTTGTAATGGTTCTGCCATTTCTGAGAAACAGGTTGGGGAAAAAATACTCTCCATGTTAATTTAGGGGTGGAGTTGTTTGCACGTTTTCTCCGTGGAAATCTTTTCAGAGCAGCTGTACATCCTCATAGCAAAGACTTAAAGGTCATAAGATTTGGCCTTTGTATCAGGAATGTACTAGGAGTTATTTCCGGTCAAATTCATTGCAATTTTGCCATTATGAGTCTTTTTAAAGCTGAACCTTTTACGTGTTCTGTAGAAGCAAAATTAACGTACTCATTTGATGTCCCTTAAGGTTTGTGTCACCTTCTGTGCTCTCATGAGCTTGTTAGTGCTAACCAGAAGATGAACCTATTGTCCCTGCAGAGCCGCTGAAGATGATGTAGATGCTAGCTGTTGGGCTGAAGGTCGACTTCTTTGTCACTCATGCAATGGCCAAGGCATAACCCTCTTCTTTTCTCTCCTCTCGTATTTCACTTGCTGGGCCCGGACACCATGGAGGAGTAAGCTAGTTTACTGAAAATTAGAAGAGACTAAAATAAGGCATAGGGAAGGATTAGGTGCGTATTCTTCAAAGTAGCTTTTCGTGTATGGAGACAGAATGAGTATCACTATTAAAAGCTGTTGTGGGAGGTCATGCCTAAACCACGCGACAGTGTGGTGTAGGAAGAGCCTTCCTCTGTCTGGTATATGCTCTCGGGGCAAAAACTGGGGAAGTTGCTATGGGTACATGATAAGCTAAATCACTTATATGTGAACCTAATGAATATTAGAATGTGTTTTAGTTTCACAGAACTAAATAACGGTGGAAAGTGTCACTGTTCATGCTCCCAACGTGCCCTTCAGTCTGGCAGCCCCAATTTAATCTCGCTGCCTGTGCTTGGCTCTCCTGCCGCGCAGTGCTGTGATGGGGAAGATGAGATAGGCTGACAAAACAGTCATCAAAGATTCACTGAGATCAGGGTGAGTCCTGCACGATGAGAGGAGCTATTAATATTTTAAAGGCTGCCATCCGTTCCTACAGGCACCAAAGTATTACATCACTGTGTGCAGAAGACAGAGTGGCAGTAATCAATAGATCTAATGTGCTGGGGGCCCAGGGAGGGACGAGTCAGCATTTCCCATGCAGAACGACTGGATATAATTAAGTGAAATAAACAAGGCTTATCCTGAGAAAAAAAGAAAACTCATCAACTATTCTGAGCTGAAACCAAAGACTTCTTTATCAAATGGTACGGTTGGGTTTGTTCAGGCTTAGAATTTCTTCACCGGTCAAAACAGTATGTTTTTTGCAAAGAAAACAGTCTGCTCTGCAGCTTGAACACAACCATAATGAAGACTGAGTGGTAAAGGAACAATTTAATGTATGTGATTTTTATTACTGAAAAGCCAAACTGTGAAAAGCTGAAGCCACATACATCTGATAATGTTGAGGCTCGCTCGACAGATAATACAGGTATGCTCTTCCACTGAGACTTTCCGACAGCTCTCAAATCCTGTCCCCGCAGGGCCCAGCCTCCTCTCCCAGAGCGCGCTCCAGCTCAATTCCAAACCCGAAGGGTCCTTCCAGTACTCGGCCAGCTACCACAGCAACCAGACCCTCGCCCTGGGCGAAACAGCGGCCGCCCCGCTCCCGGCCCGCAGCAGTCAGGCCAGAGGTGCCATCCAGAGCTACAGCCAGGTACGTGTCCTAAGCCACCCGGGTCTCTCGCACCTGAAATTGTGTGGGGTAGCTCCCAGGACACAGAGCTGTTCAGTGCCTGCTGGCACGTGAATGTCTGCCTTTACTTTCTGTCTTGTTCAACGCACCTGCAGCGGGGTAGTTACCACCTTGCTTTTCGTAAGTCTAAAGTGGGTTGACTTGCATAGTAATAAAATAATCCTGATTAAAAAGGAGATTTACATGCCAGTTTTACTTACTCGCGTATATATTTTGGTGATAGCACATTTAGGCATTTAAGTTTGAAAATTTCTGTGACTGTGCTGATTAGGAGCCCTTACTAAGGCCTAGAACCTCCCTGCGTTGGTATCTGGATATTACTGAAAGTAGTAAGTGTCGGCAAACAAAAACAAAGCCAGGATGACACCAGATGCAAAACCTGCTTGAGATACGATGCATTGCCTGGTGCCGTGGCCAAATCCCGAGTGTGGGAGTCATTTTTTGCCTTTTTTTCCCCCCATACTGTAAGGCAAGCCACTTAACCAGACAGCCACCTGTACATTTCACACATTTTTGAATTGTTTCAGATACTCATCAAAACTTTATAAATCTCTCTTCCTTTCTAAACGATCCCTCCCGGCTCTGACACGTAGCCTTCTCACCTTCTGTGCTTTTTACTGCAACATCAAAGCCTCTCACTGGGAAGTTAAGCTTCAGTTCAGACAAAAATTTCTAGAAGTGTTCATGCTTCTGTATATAAACAAAGTCTTGACTGGGTTTGTTTGGTCAGCTCAGGTTATTTTCTCTGTTTAGCTGTTAACCGCCCCAGCAAAGCAGACCATCTCAGTGTGACACTGGGACACTTTACAATTCAGGATACTGTAGAAGTGAGTAGCATTTGAATTTCAAAGCCTTAAATTGCTAAGAGATTTCCAGTATTATATAGTCATGGCACAGCTTGTGGGATACCGAGAGACATACAATATTCTATTCTCTCAATTTGCTCAGAAAAGCTCCCTATCCTCTAAGACTGAAAAATGAAATAAAGCACAGTTAAATTTCATTTCAAGTTGGGTAGGTACTTTTTTTTCCTATGAAGGGTTTGAAATGAGCCTGCGTAGTGGTAAGGCCTCAGGGGTTTTCTGTGTTTACCAAAGAGGACCTCCCTGATGTTCTTTGGGATTGGAGCCAGCAGGAGAGCAGGATTCCAGCTAGAAAGAAAAAGTAGGCTATAATATCCAGTTGTAGCCTGAGCAGATGTCATCAGGAGTTGTGCTTTGTGAAAAGCATCATGCCCTGGGGGTTAACCTGAAGGGGCGGGATGGATTCTTCAAGGAGGCTAGAAAAAGCAAGAAGACAGAAGAGGAACAGGTTATCAGAGCAACAGAAACAAAAACAAAGAAGAAAAGAGAGGGAAAGGAGAAAGAATCTTCAGAAAAAAAAAGGCAGGAAGGGAAGGTGTGCAATTGTCTAGGGGTTAGAAGTGGTGATATTCTTAATATAAACTTCATCATATTCATTGATATAAAAGGATGAATTTATGGAGAGGAAAAAAAATTAATGATCCAGATTTCTTTCACTGAAGTTACACTGAACAGCCACTGCTTAGATCTGAAAAGCTCCCATGAACCATCTACTCTACAGAGAACTGATTGCCTTCAGAAAGGTAACTGGTAAGTTAGTAAGGCAACCTGTCCTATCCTTTTATTTTTTTCTTGAGAGGGCAGCAAATAGGTTTTCTTTCTTCTGGTTCCTCCAGACTGTGTGGCAGATGTTTCTGGAGGAAAATAACTCACAGCACATAATAATTTTTCACACCATCATCATGCAAAAAATGCTTGACAACTTCAGGACAATTAAAATATATCCTGAAAATATTAACAAACTGCCCTATAAGCTGTGCATTAATACCATTAAAAAAAATAGATGAGCTTTTAAAAGAAGCAAGCAAGAAGAGGAAGAGTCAAAAGTCAGAAAGTTCTGAATATGACCATTGCTGATCCCACAATTAAGAAGAAAAAAAGTCAATCCTTGGAATTGTTTTGCTATCCCTGTTATAATTAAAATAAGCCTCAGGAGTCAAAACTGCTCAGATTGTGATAATTTCCTCTGGTATTTGTGTGAAAGGAATATAGCCATCTCTGAACATGAATGATAGCCCAAATGCATGGAAAAAAATATGTAAATAGTCCCATGGCCAGCTGTGACAGCAAGAGCAATTTCTGAAAATGCAATTGTATAAGAAAGAGAAACTAATTAGTCTTGGGACTTCCTGTATAGTGCTGCAAAGTGCAATCTAACATTTTTGTCAATTTGGAGGACTTCATTGTAAATCATAGAGTTTTTCCTCTGCTTCAAATACTTCAGAACACAAAACTTTTATCTTCTAAATGCTACTGGAATAGGATTTCTTAGGAACAACTGCTCCTCTGGCAGGGAGTTACTCTGTTTCCCCACTGAAGACAGCTTTGCAAACTTGATGTCCAGATCCTGAAAGATCCTGTCTTAATCGATTAAGGTTATTTGTGAAGAGTCAGTAGTGGCTTTTATTACAAAAATGAGCTGATTTTGCAGATGAATTGCTCAAAAGTGAATCTTCTATTTGGACAATGTAATTTGTCAACTACTGATTGATTGGGTTTACTGTCATCTTGGGAATGGTCAGCTTACGTTGTAGATACCATAGGAATATAAAGCGTAGCATGTACTATGAATAGTGGTTTTCCACATGCTCTGCCATGTATTTGCACGGGAAGGGGAAAGGAAGTGAAACCAGTTTACATTTCTGGATGAGGACTTTTTTGGCTGCTGGTGATGCTGCGGTCTTTTCAGAGGCTGAGGAGGCAAGAGACGTAAATCCCTACTGCGTGTTATCCTGTGCTCCTGAAGCTTCTGGACTGAACAAGCTGGCACAGAATTTGAAAACCCTTAAAAACAAAAAGTATATGGAAAATAAAGATAATTTAAAAAAAAAGCCATGAAAAATCATTTAACAGTTAATTTTCTAACTTGCCTCTTTTTTTCTATAAACAAGTCCTAAGTTTGTCATTCATCAGACCACCACACCTCACTAGCCCTATTTAAAATATTAGCAAATGAGTGCAAGAATGTGTTCAGTTGTCAAGCAAAACCTGTATACTGGCCATTTTCAGTTAGACTCATGGCTCTTCCCACCTCTGTGCCACAAGGTGATAGGCTGCTTGATAACCTACCCAGACAAAACCTAAACTAAGGACTTCATTCTGGCAGAAAATGGCAGATGATGATGTGTTTAAAACTGGATTCCAAATATGAACATGAGAATTTTTCTGTCATTAAAGGAAGCAGATGAAATCTTAAAACAGATTACTCTTATTACGACACTGACAGAGAACAATTCACTAGTATAGCTTACGGTAGTGAAGAACTGATCTGCATAGTGCTGGTTTGATCCTACAGTGGGTAATGATTGCAGCTTTCATTGCTGCTTTAAAATCAGAGATTGACCATCTCTAGACACCCTGAAAGGATCTCACACAATTCTGTCTGTGGATGTAGAAGACTACGATGACATTACCTACCTTTGTACGTATGACCTTTGAGATTAGGATCAGGTAGACTGGCAAGTTTTCCTAATAGCGTTGGGGTGTATTTTGCAAACCACAGTAAAGCCATGACCTTTGTAATAAAATCAGGAGAAACAGATGGAATAGGCCACATTTGAGGGATCCAGAGGTATAGCCTGGCATCTATTATCATGCAAGTGCATTTGAACATAGGTAGCATCTTCCTAGTTAGGTCAGGAATTTATAAATGACAGTAAGCAGCTGGCAGAAGAAAGACCCTTCCACAGGTGCTGCGCAAGGACTGAAGTCTGCATCCTGAAGACTAGAGAATGTTAAGCATCTACCATACCGTCTTTTGCCCTTTGTGGAGGAGTGTTGATAGAGGCATTGGGCCAGAGCAGGGCGATACCTCAAATGAAGCCACATGGAAGGTTCTTTGGGCAGAAAAAAAACAGCCCCCAGTAAACTGGTAAGTCTTGCAGTCACTGAAAGAACACAGAGCATCACTGAGACTGTGAAACAGAGCTGGACCCTTGAAAGACCAGCCGTGTGTCTCGAAAACCGTAGTAAGGATGATCAAGTTTGCAGCCTAAATCTAGCCAACACCCACCAATATTGAAGAAGCCACAGCAGCCTGGAGGGATGTCTTCCACGCAGCTTGAGCATCCAATTGGAAACTCCTCCCTCGAATCAAGAGAAAGGGTCTTCTCATCGACAACAGCGTACTGTATATGACCATGTTCATATTCATCAGATATGACCTTGTTTGAGATTTTAAGGGCCAAGCAATCCCTGAAAGTTCCAGAGAATAAAACGAGCTGAAAACTGGGGCTGGCATTTAATGCTAAATTAAAAATGCTTGTGAATACCAGTTCATCCAGACCTAAGATGGGCATGCAGACTTACTCGAATGTGACATAACTTTTCAGTTTCTTGTGTTATCTGTCAGAGAAGTATACAGGACACTGAGCACAAATTGTCATTTCTTAAGGGTAACTGGTGCCATGCTTCAAATTTTCCGGCATTTTTGTGGAAATTGTATCATTATCTCATTCGTAAGAGGACTATGAAGCCTTTTCTGTTCTTAGTTCTAAGACTCAGGCGGTTCCACTGACAGAAGTTCTGCTCCTTAGCACCCGTGAATTATGAAGCATAGATGCACAAAACCTACCAGGTTTTGTGTTTTGACATGCCTAAGAAGAAAATAGTTTGAAGGGATTTCAGATGATAATACCAAATAGATCTGCTGCACCTGCTGGCGTATTCATAATGGTCATCTTGCTCTCAGAGACATTTGCTATTCAGGTTTTGCTGGTCTTGCACACTGTTTTTCCCTGTGGGAGCAATCATCTCCCAAGAATCAACATGCTGATGTTTCAGTAATTAGCAGCTGATCCCAAAGTTTTGTTTAAGCCGTCTAGCCATCTAGGATTCTGTAATTCCTTATCCATGAAAACTTTTCACCAGAATAAATAATTCAGCTCGATTTGCCCCTCTCAATTCCATTTCATAAAACAGAAATCTGGTATTGCAATCTTCCATTTCATCTTTTTTGGTTAAAGTTCTGATTTAAATTTTCAAAGTTCTGATTTAAATTTTCAATTGGAATTGTTAAAAAAAAAAAAAAGCTGATGACCTGAAATTCAGTGCATTAAATGCATGCACAATGGCAGGCAAACAACAGTTGGACTGTTCTCTAGTCTGCTGTAGCCTAACTGCACACCCTCAATAATTTTCTGTACAGAGCTCTGCAGATCTCATTTTGTGCCTATCAGTAGAGAATGATCTTTCTGTTAATATTTAATGGGAAAGAAAAGTTTTCATAGGATTTCATAGCTTTATTAGTGTTCCCAGGGTTTGTCACACATTTCAGCTGTTAAAAGGGATATGTCAGAATCCATATATTGAATCAAAGTAAGCAAATCAGGTCTCTTTTCTTTGGGATACCAGAAAAATTACATCTCTGAGTCGAAGAATAGATATTTATAGAGCTGTAGTAAGAAAGCCCTCAATTTTTGTTCACATCGATGAAATAGATTGATGCAGGAGGATATAACAACTGGGAAGCAAATCTGCGCTCAGTTTATTAGTTTAAACAGTGTCATTATCGGGTTGACAACAGTAATGGATAAATGGAAAAATAAGGGGGAAATACCATTGTGTTTCATTCTTCCATATGCAGTCTCATGTCACACTGCAGGATGAACAATGACATGTCTGCATGGTTGTCTGAAGCAACAAGACAGGGAGAAGAAACGCAGGGAGAAACTAAAACACATTTTGCCTCTGAAGACAGGAGTGGAGAATGTGACTGTACCACTTGGCCCTTCGAAAAAAACGAAGAACCTGACAGTAAATTTAAGACAGGTCTGAGTCACATCCCAGAAAATACTGCATAGTAATGTTTTCGTTGCGATCTGTTCATCCAAAAGTTCTCTCCTTCACACAGAGCAAATGCTTAGCTTTTTAGGAAGTGCTATACAGGGCGTTTTTAATTAAGCATTTCGTTCTTGTGTCCTGCCACTATACCTTTTTCCCTATTACAGGCAATCATGAAGTGGGATTTTGTTGGGTTTTGAATTAGTACTTGCAGAATGCCTGCAGCTTTATAGAGATTTATTAGGAATATGGGATAATATTGGTTTACTTGAAATTAATTACTCTAAATCCTTGACACAC